ATGGTGAAACAATTAGCATATGCCATTTTAGCAGTTTGTGCTTTGTTTTATGTCAGAATTGCCATATTGGTGATATTAAAAAACATGGATTTAAATGGGATCATAGCACATTACAGAGTGAAAAGTTAACATGTCAATGAGAAAAAAGAAGCCTAAGGAGTAGTCAGAGAAGTATAAAGTGGAATAAGGGACATAGTGTCCAAAGCAAAGGCTAAAGATCTAGAAGAGTAAACAGGTGATGGAGTAGCTCGAAAGGTATTCAGAATGTTAAGAAAACTGAGTCCAATGGAATTGACATGATAGAGATCCTTGGAAGAATGTAAGTGAAGTGCCAAAGATCCAATCCATGTTTCTTAAAAGGTAAATAAAATGGTGGAATTTGAGATACAGATACTCTATTTGAGAAACTAGACCATTAGCAGAAAAAAGAGAATGATGTTAATGGGTTTAGTAAAAGCCTCTTTAAGATATGGGGTACATCTGAGGGGATTATGATCACATAACAGACCAAATTCCAAGAATTTCTTAGAACTGTGCAGACCGTGCATGATGGGATAGCCATCTGGGGGTCTTTGTTGATAAACTGTTAAAAACGTTTCTAGTGTGAATAGCCACAAACATTTTCAGTGCTTTTTTGTTGGTTGAGTAAACCGAAGAGCACGAATGCAAAAGCAAAATTTGACGCCAAATCACAGAAGTTGCCATAAACACAGAAGTTCCCTAGTGAGGACACTGCCTGTGTGCCTGAATTTCATTTGTTTTTGCTACTACCATTTCCTAATTTTTCCTGGTGACTAGCCAGATTAGAACTGTGAATGAAGACAAACTGGTCTTGCCCAGATGGTTAGATGAGATACAGGTAACTTAGGTAGATGGAGAAAATATTTAGGGGCTTGATGTGCCGACCTGGAATATCTTAGAATGGAAGGGATATGCTTACTCTTTTGTCATGGGGGTTTGCAACCTTAGTATATGCCTAAATCTACAGCTGCTCCTCATTTCCCAGATGGCATCTATGGCTGGGAGTACTTTTTACCATCTGCACTTCTCAAAGAGTTTGTGAACTCTCTTTTAATTATTGGGAATGAAAAAACTAATTGGTAAAGTGGTTAAATGATATAAAAGATTTAAAAATTTGAATTAGAGCTTTTACACCTATTTAATCTTTGAAATGAGATCAATGTTTTAAATGCTTTTGACCTTCATCTTTGTATAGCTGCCATCTTTGATATTTGCAATACTTCAAAATAGTCCCTAATAACTACTTTGTATGTGGATTGGTATTTTGAGCCAAATTCCAAAATTCTTGTCTCCTTCCAATACATATTATAGTAAGTACTGTTGTTGGCATGTGCATAGAACTACTAACACTGGATGAGTGTGGAGTATGATTAGATGAATTGTTCCATTCATCTAATATGCGTAAGTCAATAAAGTATAGTGTCACAATTTGTAAAAGTAATTTGGAAAAACAGACTAATGTGTTGTAAGTGTTTCCATTTATGTAAAACATCAAATAGTGGGAGAAGCAATTTCCCAGTTAGGAAATACTTTTATAACTAGCTGAGAATAATAGAGTGACATCTGACTCTGAAAATGAACATATTCTCTGTCTAGGGAATTCTAGATTTGGCATATTATTAACTTTTACTTTTTCTTCTTTCAGGTTTGTGAGTCATAAATGCATTTTCTAATAATGTATTGTAAATACATATCCTCTAATAATCAGTAGATACAATACTTATTCACCATCTTTTCTCTTTAGGCAGATTCTACTGGGGAAAATTCTCTAGATAGTTTGTCCATTTATAAAATTAGACACTTGCCATCTTTGCTCATTTTCAAGTTCTCTGTTTACAAAACTATTAAGAAGGTGTGAAATGCAGCCAAACTTCCAGTTTATGGGAAATGTCTGATGATTGCATTTTCTACATGTTCATTGTTCACACATGAAGAAATTTGGCAGCTGTGAGATTATTAAGTTTAGAGTATCCAAATCTAGCCCTCACTGGGATTTTGGTTTCCTGCTTTCTGCCACTACCATATCACCCCCTTTTGTGATCATCTTTGTGGTAAATGTTCTCGTGGCATTTCTTAAGATTAGTGATCTTTAAATTTTCTTGTTTTTCCATTTATCAGATGCTATGAATAAATCATAGAACAAAGAGTTCACTCTAAATTATAGAGTCCTGTCATCTGGCCATAACATACCCAAATTGCTAAGAAGGTTCCTTACACTTAGAATTTTCAATTAAGAGTTTTTGTGTCGGTGCCATTATTGGGAGAGAAGGACAGTGGTGGTAGATAATATGAATGCTGTAATTATTTCAGAATTCCTCTGCTAGAAAGTTATGATCACACATATATAAGAGTTTGTAGCTAACTCTCAAAGGAGTAGAAAGTGGTTTGCATGTGTTTGGTTTGGTTAATTTAATTTTGATTTAATTTGGTTTTTAATTCAGGTGATTTTTTTGATGTTGAAAACTTCAAATGACTCTGTTTCTTCTTGATTACTAGAGATTCCTCATGTGACGTAGTGAGAGTTTTTTTCTGGGTACATGTATTAACTTTTAGAAATTTAAAGATGTGACATTATTAAGAGTGAAAACCTTGTGAATTGTTAAGTGGATCAAGTCAGCACCTCCTTTGATCCTAAGTGCCACTAACAGTTAAATGGGTACTGGATATGGCAGGCTACATTGACAAGAAAAAATGAGATAAAGAAATGGGAAGTTTGAGGAGAACTACTGTGAAGGCAGAACTGGAAAAGGAGTTTTCCAGAAGAAAACTAGTTAGTACCACAGTGGTATAAGTGCTGCCTCAAGTACTTCTATCCCCTCGTCTCTCAAAGAATACAATAGTGGTTTCCAAACAGTTAACACTACCATTTAGTGATCCGGTTTGATATTTTCAATACCTTTTACATATTTCTTAAATCTCATTTTCAAGATGATGGTGATTAAATAATTTTCATTATCCTGAAGGTTATTCTGCAGATTAGCAAAATTGCTTTTTTGTTCAACAAATTCTTTGAATAAAAGGTTCTATGAATGAAAGTTATGATCACCATTATCTTTGGTGATTATGTGCAGTGGAAAAAGTGAATTTAGAATTTGAAACTCTGTCCTTTGTGTTTCATTCACAGGCTGTAGAAGAAGAAGATAAGATGACACCTGAACAGCTGGCAATAAAGAACGTTGGCAAGCAGGTGAGGTGTACTGCAGTGGGTTATGTAGTCGCATAATACCATGTTCTTAGAGAATTAGAACTATTTTAAGGCCCATATGATTTTTTCCTGTCTATTCACCTACGTTTTTCTTGTCATGCATTTGTGATACTCATTTTAAAGGTCACTGGATTTATTTGATGTTACATTCTCTCTGCTATCTGTAGAGAAGTAAATCACAAATTCATACCTATGAGATAATTACTATCTTTAGTGAAAATAATTTACTAGAAATAAATTAGGACACTTGTGTCCTGAATTAATTTTTCAAGTATTATTTTTACTATAGACCAGGTAAGATAACAGAATGGTAGATTTATTCCATGTATATAACAGTTTTTTAAATGATATACTTTATCAATACGAGGTTATGTTCCTGAGAAAGCTTGGAGTCTTAGTGATATAAGATACACTGAGTGAAGAGAAAGGGTTTTAAATATTTGCTCTTTCACTTTTCTAAGATGAAATATATATTTTAGTCTCTATTATCTGAGGGTGGTGGGGCATACCAACCAATTAAAGGAATCTACAGATTAATTAGACTGTTTTTTAAAGAATGTTGATTACATTTTTTTTTCATTTCATGGAACATGGTTATCATATTGCTGATGTTGGCAGAATCTTGATATTTCAGATGCAAGACACTAAGCTGTCTTTGCTTTCAGCCATCCTACCATATGCTCTGATCCCATCACATCTCACAAGCTATGTAGGTTTGGGCCAGGACCATTCTTGGATGGGAAATCTCTAAGAATCACCCAGCTGCCACAAGAAGTAATGTAGATAACTGAGGGAAGCATGTTATCAATTCACTATAAAACCAATTACTCCAACAGAGTGGTAGGGGCAAAGGTCTGACTTTATCATATATCATAAATAAGGAAATCAAATCTCATTATGTTCTGAATATTATAATTTAAAAACAAGTACCCCCCAAAAAACAAAATAAAATACAGTTCATCTTATTTTCTCATCTTATGTCATATCACCCTTGTTACCTTTTTCCACTACTTATTTTAATCTAATATATAATACTAGATCACTAACTCAGAGCCTTATACTTTATAGAGTTAAGTAACTATTTTTTGAATTAATGATTTTCTGAGGCTATAGTTTCTTGGTGTCGATTTTATTTAACAGCAGCAAATAAAAGGGCTAAATTAAAATAAAAGTGAAACTGAAAAATATATAATTGGCAAAGTTTAATACTCATCAGAATCATTTTTTAAAATATAATACGTACCTCACTGGTTTGGTCTACTGCATGGCAAAAGCAAAACTGTCTATAATGGAATCAAACCAGTATCTTGTTTTCCTGCCAGTCTTTCTTAGTCTCTTTCACCTAAAATGCCCTAACGCTTATTTCTGAAATAAAAAAGAATAATATTGTAGTCTAGTCACTTGAAATTATTTGTAGCATGTTATATCCCTGTGTTGTTTAATGAAATCAGCGTATTGAAATTATGAGTTAGAAAAGCACAGCCAAGAAAGAATTACAATGATGAAACGTTTACTTAAAGTTACAGGTCTTGGGTATTTTAACAATAGCCATAAGAAAATAATGCTTTAAAGTTTTTTATTGTGTGTAATATTTATCGTTTATTTCAAAGCTTTCAAATTTAGCTGAAACAGCTAAACATAAATTTAAACTAAGCATTTTAACTTAAATGCCTTTATTACAATGCAGTTCAAGCCACATTTTTTAACTCAGTCTATTTCAAAAATAGATTTGATCAAGTTTAAGGACTGTACCTATATAATTTTTTATGATACATTTTCAAAATAGCTTCATGAAACATTCCTAACATTTTAGAATCGATCCAAATTGTATTTAAATTCTTAAACTACAGTGACTTTTGATCCAAGAATATTTTTTGAATCATTTAAAACACTACTTTTGAAATATTAAAATTATACAGAATTCTGATTTTTACCAAGACAGAGGAAGTTATGAGAATTCACATTGAACTCATTGGTATGCCTGCTTTGAATTAAGCACTCCCCTCAGACATTAAAAATATGTGAATGGCAGAGAATACACACATATATTCAGGCATGTATACACAAATGCACATTTTTTAAAATCAGATGATTGCAAGCTGTATAGATTCCTTGTTACTCTTTATAAAAATTTGTGGTACAGAGTCATAGCATTGATCGTGTAAATAAATCTTTCATTGTGTAATCTATTATTTTATTAGCTACTTAACTTTTTAACAAATTTAGAGATTATAAAAATGCAACAATATTTTAGGAGGAAGGTTAAATTGTAAAATGTATATAAATTAGGTCTGGTTTTCTTTACCAATTTCGTCAGCTACTGAAAGAATCTAAGTAATTTATCTACCAATAATATGGTTCTTTTTTCTTTTTCTTTCCGTGTTTTTTTTTCTTTTAGGACCCCAAACGTCATTTGGAGGAACATGTGGATGTACTTATGACTTCAAACATTGTCCAGTGTTTAGCAGCTATGTTGGATACTGTCGTATTTAAATAAAGCAACGCAAAAAGCTATTTAGTGATACTTTCAGTCTATATTCCTCTGTTGTTCCTAATGCTCAAAATCAAGGGACTTCTGAAGGTGTATTTGGTTAAATGTAAGACATCTGGCATCATTTGCAGCACTGTAACACCTTCAGTCTCAGTTGTGCAGTTACTTCTGTTTCTTCGGTCAGGGTCTTTGCAGATTCCAAAGTTGTACGAGAATACATCAAAGTGGACAAATTTTGTTAAGATCCCATTTAATATTTGAAAAAATCAGTAGCACAAATATATTTTGATTGTTGCTTACAAAATAAAATACATTTACAATCTATGTCTCCTGAGGTCTTTTTGGCACTGGGTGGAATTGACAGTAATATTTGACAGTGCTCTAGAAATCTCACACAAAGATATGTTTCCTTTTGCATTTTAAGGTCTTATAACACATAAAACATCAATGTGATAAAAAAAACTTCACAAATGCAAAATGACTGCCATTAATGAATGGCTACCTAATTAGTGAGTAACCCGGAAAAAATGTTGACAAAGTTTATTAAAAGCATTTGTCACAAGCTAATATAGGTATACTCGGTATCTTTTTAACATACTTTCAGGATTTCAGAGGAATACATTCAAGAAGAAAAAGGGGACAATTTTAATTTAGACTTTATCATGTTTTAAAAGAGTACATTCCACCAACAGTTTTGAGACCGTCTATCAGTTGGCTGCTTCAGACTCTACTGGACTTTTATCTAAGATAGCCATAGAAGATATATAATGTCTTAAAGGCAAAATGAGAACAGTAGTCAAAATGTGAGTTTAATATCATGAGTTTATAAGGAATGATTTTGTTACTGTTTGCTCTCAGCTGTCTTAAATTATCTTAAAAGTACCCAGTTTTCTGATACAGAAAAAAAATTTTGGCTAATGGCAGTTTTTGTAGATGACTTCAGCCCTTAATCTGATGTACAAAAGTAACTGCCCCTGTTAATACTCGTGGTTCACCACAATACTGGCTACACCAAAGGGTAAGGCAGAAGATACAGAGTCAGACAAAGATTTAATTCTAGTCTGCACCCTACCTTGTGAAACTACGGCGAGAATATTACTAAGGCTTTATTAAAGGAAGGTTTTACTTAGAATTTAGACTTAACCTAATAGAAGTGTTGTGAGGGCTACAGTATACTACATTACTGTCCTACTTGAGCAATTCTAGGTTTTTATTGGTTACCTAATGAAGTTAGGAGAAACTGAAAGTAGAAATGGCTTAAATTCCCAATATATTTCACAGTGTCTTTTTGGTGAAATAAGATATTCCGAGCATTTCTTGCTTGTTCTGTGGTTTATTCTTTTAGATACAGTGATAATATATTTTATGTAGGACATGTAATATGTATTAATTAGACTTCTTGGGATTACATCTAACCATTTAAAATTAAAATATAAGTGGAAGTTAGTGGCAGTTATTTAGCCTGATTCAAACTGGTGTGCAGGCTTTTGGATATGGTTTTTTCCTTTATAAAGTTCTATAATTTCACAGATATTTTTGACTAGAGTTAGTCAAGATTTTTTGGTGCAGTATGCCCTCAGAAGAAGGCCTTAATATTTCAAGGGCTATTTTCAATATTCAGATTGAAAGTTTTGTTTTTGTTTTTCACTTAGTCTCCCAAAAGTATTCTGAGTGACTACTGTGACTGAGAAGGCTTTTAAACAGTGCCTGCCTTTTGCCCTTATTTGATCACCTCGTCTTTCTAGACTCCCCATAGCCATATACCACTTCCTCCCACTTGGTTTACGTTGGAGACATTTCCAATTTCAGAACCTTGTCAAAGTCTTTCCTAGCAAAAACCTACATTTTCTTTTAGATTTGGAGTCGATCGAAATTAGGATGCCCTCAGAGGAGAGGCTCACTTTTGTCTTGGAATGTGCAGCTATTTTAGCAGCAGCCTGATACCCCAGGCCCAGTTAGTTAGGCATTGAAAAGATGTGTTTAATCACAAACTTAAGCTGTTTAAGATTGTGTGCGTGCGCTTGTGTGAGCACACATGTATGCACGCACGGGCATGCTTATGTGAGCATCTTACTCATCCACTATGCAGAGGTAGAGCAGCTCTGGAAACAAAACTACCGATTGCAGAAAGGTCCCTGCTTTCCTCCAACTAGTATGGGGGCACTTAAAGCTCCAGCCTCACTATTCAAAATGTGATCTGCCTGGACCAATAGCATCTGGGTCTTAGGGTAGCTTATTAAATATACAAAATCCAAGCCCCACCCCAGACCTACTGAATCACAATCAAGAATCCTAATGTGGTTCCATAGGCAGTTTAAGGTTGGAGAAGCCCTGGTCTATAGAAGTATGGTTCACAGGCAGGTGTGTGATCCTGAGGAAAGCCTTTGTTTTCCTTCTCACGTAAATCCAAGGCACAGTCTACATGGGGGGAATCACTGAATTTAGTGCTGATAATCCAAAGTGGGTCAGAGTGCACATTTATCTCCTAATTCAATTCCTTAAAAACTATTGAGGAAGGTGCGCTCTCTCCCTTTTCTATCTTTTAACACCTTAATGTTTCATTTTAGTATTTTTCATTGTTTAAAAAGCCAGTTCAGAGTGTGGGCAATGGTAAAGCCTCAAAAAGAGCCCAGGTGAAGCCTCACCTCCCCACACCCTGAAGGCTCTGTGTCCTACTGAGGACGGAGGAAGGGACCGTTGGAAACAGCTGGGGGAGATAGACTCAGGAACAGAGAAGTTAATAATGGAAGAAGAGGAAACAAAAGTGGCCAAAATAGGTCGAAAAGCCTCTCAATGATGACAAATGGCGGTAAAAGGTCAGGGGCAGAAAAACAATTGTCAAGTGGTGTCAGCTACTCTTCCCTCCCCCGCACTCCAACGCCGCAAACAGCTAAGAAGCTTTCTGGCCAGGAGCTGAGGTTTGCTGTCGAAAGGAAAAATGGGTTTGGCTTTTTCTCCCCGAAAATTGTCTCGGCTTGAGTTTGGGACAGCTGGTCGTCAGCCTGTCCTGCCCAGGCCGCCCGCGCCGGCCTTGCTTGCGGCGCCCTGCTGGAGGCCGCAGCTGGTGCCCTCCGCAGCCAAGGCGCCCAGCCGGCCTCGAGGGGCGCAGGCCGGGCTCAGAGCTGACCTCGCGGCCCTCCGCGGCGCCGCTCTGAAAGTGTAGCACGGGCGAAGCTGCCAGTCTGGTTAACCCCTCTCAGCCCGTGCTCGGGAGCCCCCGCCCCGCCCCGCCCCGCCATGTCCCCAGCGCCACTCTCCCTCGAGGAGCTGCCCCGGCCCGGGAAAGGCAGACACGCTCGCTCGACGGCAGAGGCTCCAACGCGCCGAAGTGCCCAGGTGTTGCCCCTGGGGTCTGCGCCAGACGCGGCTCAGTCTCCCCAGCGGAGCCCGCCTGCCGCTCGGCCAGCTCGCGGGGCCGAGCCGAGCTCTGGCGCTGCGCTCCTCCTCCCCGTTCCCGCGCGGCTCGGCTTCCCGGGGGAAAGCTGCGGGAGGGCAGGTTGGGAAGTGCAGGGCCGCGGGAGGCAGCTTTGGGCAGATAAAGCCTCCGCCGCTCTTGCTTCTAGGCCGAGGACCGGGCTTGTCCGCTGAGCCAGTACTGGGAGATACCTTTTCCCTACACCTCAGGGTCGCTTTAGGCCTCCTGCTATTTATTTGTGGCAACATCCTTTAAATTGATTCTTTTTTCTATTCCTCCTTAAATTCTTCCTCCTTTCAAAATTACTGGCATGGATTCTTTTTCTCCCCTCCAGATTATATAAACATCACACACACACACACACACACACGCACAAAGTCTTCAGCAGCGATTACTGTGTTGACACCACTTCCACTCTGTCTCCCCAGATCAGCGCTTCTGGCGAACCCATTTGCACGGGGACTCGGCCCTCTCTTTTCCTGGCGAGGCTTTTGAACTTGTCGCCAAGCCAGTACCTCCGAGAGAAGGAAGTGCAGTGGGAGGCGAAGGACGCGTGACGCCTGCCCCCAGTTAGATGCTCTTCAGATAATCTGCAACCAAGTTCGCTGATAAAATATTTAGTAAAGACCCGGTAAACATCACTGCAAATACATTAAGGCACTTCAGCCCGACAGCTTATGATTATTTCAAAACTTAAAAAGGAGATCATAGATTGTCACTGTTTCTGTGCTCAACCAAGAAACCGAACCTTCCCGAGGTGGGTGGATTGGTGGGTGAGTTGCTGCCTTTCGCCCCCTTTTCTCCCCTCTCCTGCCTATCGCTGCGGCTCTCAGCAGCAGTGATTTATTTATTTATGTGTGTAGTTAAAGAGTGGGGGTGGGGGGCGCCGGGGACAGGCAGGACCTGCTCACAAAGCAGCGGCTCAGGTGTTGTGTGCTTCTGTATTAACTGGAAAAGACAGACTCTGGAACTTTTACAGGGCGAGAAGAGGCCACCGGCTCGCGCTTTGTATACTTTGCACTTGAAATCGTTACATTCAACTGAATATTTGGCTCATTCAGATCCGAAAAGTCTCCTAGCATCGCTGAATTCCCTCCTCCGCCCCTCCGCTCTAAAGAGGGGAAGGGGAGGGGAAGGTAGGAAATGTTTAGTAAATTGCACATCTTTGAATCTTCCTAAAGCAGTGGTCACAAAGCTTAAAGGTGACACAACAGTGCTCACGTAAACCAACACACATTCCCCACCCCCAAGCCAACAATAAAATCATCCCCTTCAATTTGCCATGATCGTCGCGACCAGGAGCCAGGTGATTATCCTAATTAATGTCTATCTAATTAAATTACTGTCAGCAGTTAACCAATGGCAGGAGCCGTTTCATCGGCTGCACAAGCAGCAAGATCAAAAGTGAGCCTTTTCTGATTGCTGCATAGTGTCAATTGGCCAATCTCTTCTCCCAGGGAAAAAAAAAAGTAAATCAAACCTTTGAGAAGCATTTGCTGGTTGAAGTGCTTTCTGTCTAGTGTGGGGGTCTGTGGATTTCTAGTTTATGATAAATAGGACTTTAAAAACCAGGGACGGGAGGGCGAGTGTTCAGGTTCTAGAGCTATGCAGCTGGAGCACTGCCTTTCTCCTTCTATCATGCTCTCCAAGAAATTTCTCAATGTGAGCAGCAGCTACCCACATTCAGGCGGATCCGAGCTTGTCTTGCACGATCATCCCATTATCTCGACCACTGACAACCTGGAGAGAAGTTCACCTTTGAAAAAAATTACCAGGGGGATGACGAATCAGTCAGATACAGACAATTTTCCTGACTCCAAGGACTCACCAGGGGACGTCCAGAGAAGTAAACTCTCTCCTGTCTTGGACGGGGTCTCTGAGCTTCGTCACAGTTTCGATGGCTCTGCTGCAGATCGCTACCTCCTCTCTCAGTCCAGCCAGCCACAGTCTGCGGCCACTGCTCCCAGTGCCATGTTCCCGTACCCCGGCCAGCACGGACCGGCGCACCCCGCCTTCTCCATCGGCAGCCCCAGCCGCTATATGGCCCACCACCCGGTCATCACCAACGGAGCCTACAACAGCCTCCTGTCCAACTCCTCGCCGCAGGGCTACCCCACGGCCGGCTACCCCTATCCACAGCAGTATGGCCACTCCTACCAAGGAGCCCCGTTCTACCAATTCTCCTCCACCCAGCCGGGGCTGGTGCCCGGCAAAGCGCAGGTGTATCTGTGCAACAGGCCCCTGTGGCTGAAATTTCACCGGCACCAAACGGAGATGATCATCACCAAACAGGGAAGGTAATACTGCATTCTTGGCTGCCGCCGCTCCAGGCGAGATCGGGGGCAAGCGCACCCAGGTTGTGACCGCCGCGGCAGCGATGATTTGGGGTCGGGAGCGGAGTGGAAGGCGCTCTGGTGCGCCCTAGGGTTGGCTGGTTTTGGAGAAGGGGAAAGTGGAAGGGATGACCACCACGGTGCTGTTGGTGGGGGGAACTCCGCTCTCGGAACGTGGTCGGAGAGGCCGCCAGTGGCCAGAGGAAGGCGAGAAAGAGGAAGAGCCCCCGGCCAGCGGCCGGGCGATGGGAGGGACGCATCAACGCCGGCATGCACGGACAGGTGGAGACGCAGGTCGCCAGCCTCGCTCTCCACCTGAGCAGTGATACCTGCCGACTCTCCACTCCAGCTCATCCGCCTCTCTCCCAGACTTGGGTCCCACTTCTTTTTCTCTCCCACCACCCCGTTTCTAATCCAGCAAAACATTCGCTCATATACGCTGCAAGAACAAGTTTTTCTTTGCTATCTGGCGCCCCGCTTCTTGCATTTAATCTTTAACATTTATGTTTCTTTTTTCCTTGTTTTCTCCCCCCCTTAATTTAAATAGGCGCATGTTTCCTTTTTTAAGTTTTAACATTTCTGGTCTCGATCCCACGGCTCATTACAATATTTTTGTGGATGTGATTTTGGCGGATCCCAATCACTGGAGGTTTCAAGGAGGCAAATGGGTTCCTTGCGGCAAAGCGGACACCAATGTGCAAGGCAAGTCCTTCCAATTAACACATTTTCTTGACACTTATTTAGGTGAGAATGATTAATTAAAGCCTTTGTGGACTGGCTCGAGCGACTTTTAAAACGATCGGCCAATGACTTCTAAAAGGAAACGAGGGGGACAGGGGGACAGACTGAGCAGTGAGAGGGGTGAGGATTATGCAAAAGCTATTTTAATCACCCCCAGTTAATAGGAAGAAAGATTGGCCTAAAAAAGCCCCAGATAATGGGCCTCGCAGTGGAGTAAGGGGTGTGTGTGTGTGTGTGTGTGTGTGTGCGCGCGCGTCCTACTTGGTGAGGAGTTGGGACTGGGCAGTGCCCGGGGTATATGTAAACAACATATATCTTTCTCTAGGAAATCGGGTCTATATGCATCCGGATTCCCCCAACACTGGGGCTCACTGGATGCGTCAAGAAATCTCTTTTGGAAAATTAAAACTTACGAACAACAAAGGAGCTTCCAACAACAATGGGCAGGTCAGTGGCTCAAGAGCTCGTGCACTCGCGCGCGCTCTCTCTCCTCTCCCACCCGTCCCTCCCTGACATCCAGTTCGTCAGTTTAAAGGAGCACGCGAAACTGGATACGTTTCTTTGCTTCATTAAAAGGACTTCAACAATTCTATTTTCATCTTTCAAATTTATATTAAATCTGTAAAGTTGTTCTCCTTGACACCACCGCCCCTCGGCCCAAATTGGGAGTTCCCGACCTTTCCAAGTATAAATACTGTTTGATTTTGAGAAGGAAACCCACAAGATCTGCAGGTTGTGAAAATCTTTGTTCCTCCTCCTTAAAGGAGGACTAGGAGAAGGGCCCTGAGGATGGGCGGTCGGGTTCCGCTTGCCTCCGGTGTCCCAGCGGATCCTCGCTCTCTGCCCCAGCCGGCCGGTCGCCAGCCAGGCCAGTCCCTCAGTCCGTTAGCCGGGCCTAGCGGGGCAGCGGGCTCCCCCCTGCTTCGGCCGGGCGCGCACATCCACGCGGACAGCGACCGCGTAACACGCCGCCCCGCGCTCCCCTTTCTCTCCGCCGGACAGATGGTGGTTTTACAGTCCTTGCACAAGTACCAGCCCCGCCTGCATGTGGTAGAAGTGAACGAGGACGGCACGGAGGATACCAGCCAGCCTGGCCGCGTGCAGACATTCACTTTTCCGGAGACTCAGTTCATCGCCGTCACCGCCTACCAGAACACCGATGTAAGGAGACCTAGGGGCTGGGCGCGCCGCGGACCGCACAGACATCCAGCGCACCCGCCGACTTCCCCGGGGCCATCCAGGGTTCATGCATGAGCAGCACTACCAGCTCTAACATCAGCAACAGCTGGCTCCGCTGCGCGTTTGAGGCGTAGGGCTGGGGGCCTGCTAGGCACCGTCCCTAAATACCAGGCGGGCGGGAAAATGCTTGCTATTTGTCTCTGTCGCGGGTCACCCGGGCCACCTTACAAGGGGCCAAGATTTCTAGGGCCTCTTCTTTTGGGAGTTTTAATTTGGTCCTCAAACTAGAACAGATTAAAATCTGTTTTTTTTTTTTTTTTTTTTTTTTTTTAGTCTCTCTTTCCTTTAGAAAACAAGCAGATTTCCCCCCGCATTATTCTTGGCAAGCTTTGGCATCTAAAAAAAAATTTTTTTTTTAAATCCCAGAACTGATGGCTGAAATGAACAAACATCACTGTTCTGGGAGATCAAAAGAACATACACATTATTTTATGTGAAAACTACAATAAATCAAATTACTGAGGGCTATGGAATGAATTTTCTAGCACTTGAACCTCTTCAGTATTTGCAAGTCTGCAAAAGCTGATTTTAGTCGCAGATTTGACTGCTAGGAATGATGATAGGGGTTTTTTGTGTTTGTTTGTTTACTTAAATGAAAATATCAGAAAGAAAAACATGCATTTATTTAAAAATAAAATCTGATTTTAAGTTGTAATTTGCAATTTCTCAGGTTGTGAATCAGAGGAGATCAACTTTTTAAAAATATACTGAAACGGTTAAAATAGGCAACATTTGACGATGAATTCAAGTTCCCCTTAAAGATTTTTGTCTACGTGTACTGTGTGTAACAACCTTTTAAAAATGTGAGTTTGAAACAATTTAGAACACATAGGAGAGCTAATTGAAAGCAATCCTTTAGTTTTAGGCATCATTAATTTAAATATGTTCCTTGTAACTTTCATGATACTTTCTCTTTTTTTCTTTCCTTCCATTCCCTCAAATTTTTCAGTTAGGAAAACCTTGCTATTTAATAGAATTGTAGGCCTTAAGCTCCTGTAAAAGTGGCAGATGACATATTCTCAAACACCCAATCTTCCTGTGTGGAAGGTGAGATCACATTCATTCTTTTTTCTCTTTCCCAGATTACACAATTGAAAATAGATCATAATCCCTTTGCAAAAGGATTTCGGGATAATTATGACACGTAAGTAATTTTGTACCTTCCTTCTCAAATAGTTGTGGAATTGGGCTTTAGGTCAAAGGTGGATTATTGTGTACAAAGCTTTTGGAAACTAGAATGTGTGAAGACAGGGTTGTTTCAGAGATTCTCCCTTTCTTTTTTTATTGGCTCCCTGGTGACCTTATGGCTTGGTACTTGTGTGGTTTTGGTCAAAGTTTTCCTCGACCTATTTTTAGCTTTTCTGTGAATTACAAAGTTGTTGGCGAGCCTCTGGGGCTGGCTGGCTGACTGGGGAAGCTGCCCTGGTTCCCGGGTGCGGGTGCTGTATGTGGCACTGCAGATGCTCAGCTCAGATTGTCTGTGTCTGAAACGGGCAATTCTGCCTGAAAGTGCATGTGGCTCTGGCAGTTGTTACAGTCTCCTTGGCATATGTGACTTTTATTTACCCATTTCCAAGTTTGTGTAATAGCATTTCCTGTGCAAGTTTACCATGGACTGAATAAAAATGCGCACCCGCCACAGGCGAGTTCACGAGCAGAATCTCTGTTATGGTCATTTCAGGCTTTAGGAAGGACTCAGATGCCATTGCTTGTGTATTATTTATAAGCTTCAAAAGAAAAATATTTCCCCTTATCTTTTGTATCTAGGTGTGCTTTAATTAAATGTGTTGGTTCCCTTTTCTTCAGGCTTCCCTTACCTGTCTCTATCTCTTTTCTATCAAAAGGCTATTCTCTGGGGGCGAGGATAGGTATAAACTGAATGCTTTCCGGGCTTGTTCTGGCATTCTTATTCAGGGGCCAGTCACGGTGCCAGAGACTTCAGATAGTGCTCAGATAGTGTTACAATAGCAAAATCTAAATCTGGATTGTGCCCTCCTCCCTGGCTTTTTCTGACCAGAAAAGGGAAGGGTACATACATCTTAATTTCATGGCTTACATTGAGTGTCTGGGATAGAGCTAAAAAGTTGAAGCTATCTTTGAGTAGGAATAGATCAAATGTGTGGAGAAAAAGACAGCTGGCTGCCTCTATACCACCTCCAGGCAGATACCAACCTTTTCTCCTGATATTTTATAACAAATTAAAAAGAGAGTCTTGATATTACTGCTTATAATCATCATATATATCCCTCAAAAGTAGTCCAAAGGAAGCAAGGCTCATCAATATGATTCCCCAGAATAAAAACTTGGCTACTCTAGTCCTCACAATCTAAAAAGGTGTGCCCGGCACAGTGGAAAGTGTGTGGCCCAAGAGACCAGAGATGTTGGAGGAGAGTCCTGTAGATTTTGAGCTTTTAATTCTGTTGTGAACATCTGTTCAAAAGCATTTTATTTTGCACAAATCAGTTCAGTAATCCCAAGTGGGTGGGACCTGGGTGGGCATCTAAACTGTATCTTTTGCAGACTGCTTTTTTCTTTTTAAAATATTGTGGTGATAAACAGAGAAGATATTTGCACCTTGCTAGTTATGTTCCCTTCCTGCCTCCCTCTACTTCTCTTATTTGAAACTGGAATTAAATTTCAGTTGGGAAATTTTGTGCACTAAACAGAATGGAGCTGAGCAGCCACAGTCTAACTCTCACCTGCCCCTCCTTCTCTGGCTGCCTTCTGTTTGAAAAGCCACTTCCCTCTGATCTTAAGTCACTATAAATTTTTTACAAAAGCATCTTTACCTACACACACATAAAAAAAATCTTAGATTTTAAGAAGATAGGGAAGAGCTGAGTCATTTACGACACTCTCCCTCTCCCCTTTTATGTTGGTTATGTGGGCATGGCTCAATTTTGGAGGAATAGGGAGAACTATAAGAGTTCAGAGGGTACTAGGAGCTTGCTTGGCCACTCACCAGGGAATCTCCTCCCCGAAGGATTAAGGCCTGACAAGACTGAGGCTCTCCTTCAAAACAGTCTGTTGACTAAAGATTAAAACATTTATGTGTGAGCTAAATAAAAAGGGAGGCATGTGTGTATGTGTATGAGAAAACACTTCTACCGATCTTCATCCAATCCTTGGTTTCCTGTCAATTCTAATGGGATTTTCTAGGCCCAGGGCCTAAAGTTAATCCTTGATTATTTTATTTAAGGTAATCCCCAACAACACAATCACTGTCAGTGACTGGGCAAGTTATTTAACTTCCCTTTGCCTCAGTTTTCTCATCGGTAAAGTGGGATAATAATAGTACCTAACTCAGGATTGTTGTGAGTTAAATAAGTTACCATCTGTACAGCCCTAGAGACAACAGTGCCTGGCACATAGTCAAGCTCTGTAAGGGTTATCTATTGTTAGTGGTCCATTGCTCAGAGTAGGTTGATAACTGTACTGTAAGTTTGCCCCAAAGTTTTTGCCAGTAATGGATCAAAAGCTGGGGAGAGAAGGTCAGAGTAAAGAACATCTTTTCTTTGTAAAAAGAGATTTTTGATTGATGACTTTTTCCAAATAGTAATTCTTGTTTGTATTAGTAGAAGTGGGGATTAAAGGCTCACACAAGGGAAACAATAGACATTAAGTGTCTTGGAGGCTTCCAGCAGCAATCCTTGAGTTTTAGAACACTGGTGAAGGCCAGTTTTTGATGATGACTGCAAGGGGCACAGCAGTTTTTTCCTAGGAGTTTGTTAAACTACCTAGAGAAAGGAGAGAAATCACCTGAACAATCTAACGGACACAAGAGGTCTTAAAAGGGTGGAGGGGTGGGTGCCTTGTTTAAAAACTTCTCTCAGAAACTCCGACTGCAGAGGAAAGGCCAGCTGGGCAAATAGCATCTTAGTCCCTGGGTAAATCTGCCTTAATGTTGTGTACATATGTTGGAGAAGTGGGATTAGAGCCCCCTGCTTGTGCCCCTCTCTTGGTCCTCTGTACACTTTACAAGAGAGAGCAAGTGAAGAGGGAAGCCTTTCTCTTGATGTTCTGTCTCTTGCTCAGATCCCCTGCATAGACAAATTGGCCCCTTTATAATTCCACGATTTATTATGGAGAGGATACAGGTCTGTGACCTTTTGTGGTCTCCATCCTGGACGGCAAGCTACACACGGAGGGTGCGGGGGCGGGCGAAAGTGGAGGTGGCCTTCCTTTCTGCCCTTCCCCCTTCAAGGGACCTCTGCGCCACCCCTCGGTTCTCTCTCTCTCTCCCTGCCCCGCAGGATCTACACCGGCTGCGACATGGACCGCCTGACCCCCTCGCCCAACGACTCGCCGCGCTCGCAGATTGTGCCCGGGGCCCGCTACGCCATGGCCGGCTCTTTCCTGCAGGACCAGTTCGTGAGCAACTACGCCAAGGCCCGATTTCACCCGGGTGCGGGCGCGGGCCCCGGGCCGGGTACGGACCGCAGCGTGCCGCACACCAATGGGCTGCTGTCACCGCAGCAGGCCGAGGACCCAGGCGCGCCGTCGCCGCAGCGCTGGTTTGTGACGCCGGCCAACAACCGGCTGGACTTCGCGGCCTCGGCCTACGACACGGCCACGGACTTCGCAGGCAATGCGGCCACGCTGCTCTCGTACGCGGCGGCGGGCGTGAAGGCGCTGCCTCTGCAGGCCGCCGGCTGCACCGGCCGCCCGCTCGGCTACTACGCCGACCCGTCGGGCTGGGGCGCGCGCAGCCCCCCGCAGTACTGCGGCGCCAAGTCGGGCTCCGTGCTGCCCTGCTGGCCCAACAGCGCCGCGGCCGCCGCGCGCATGGCCGGCGCCAACCCCTACCTGGGCGAGGAGGCCGAGGGCCTGGCCGCCGAGCGCTCGCCGCTGCCGCCCGGCACCGCCGAGGACGCCAAGCCCAAGGACCTGTCCGACTCCAGCTGGATCGAGACGCCCTCCTCCATCAAGTCCATCGACTCGAGCGACTCGGGGATTTACGAGCAGGCCAAGCGGAGGCGGATCTCGCCCGCCGACACGCCGGTGTCTGAGAGCTCGTCCCCGCTCAAGAGCGAGGTGCTGGCCCAGCGGGACTGTGAGAAGAACTGCGCCAAGGACATAAGCGGCTACTATGGCTTCTACTCGCACAGCTAGGCCGCCTCTGCCCGTCCCGGCCCGGTCGCGGGCCCCGGACCCCCAGCAAGCCCCTCACAGCTCTTCCCCAGCTCCTCCTCCCCAGACCCCCACTTTGCGCACCCCTTCATTTTATTTGACCCTCGATGACCGTCTGCAGCGAATAAGTGCAGGTCTCCGAGTGTGATTTTAACCTTTTTTGCACAGCAGTCTCTGCAATTAGCACACCGACCTTCAACTTTGCTGTAAACCTTTTGGTTTTCCTACTCACTCTCCTTCTGTGAAGTTATCTTCCTAATAATCCTCCCCCACCTCGTCTTTTTCTCACCTCCTCCTTCTCTGTCTCTCGTAATGAAACTCTTCACCTTTAGGAGACCTGGACAGTCCTGTCAGGCAGCAGCGATTCCGACCCGCCAAGCCTCGGCCTCCCCATTAACCGTAGGATGTTGACTCTAGAACCTGGACCCACCCAGCGCGTCCTTTCTTATCCCCGAGTGATGGATGGATGGATGGATGGTAGGGATGTTAATAATTTTAGTGGAACAAAGCCTGTGAAATGATTGTACATAGTGTTAATTTATTGTAACGAATGGCTAGTTTTTATTCTTATCGTCAAGGCACAAAACCAGTTCATGCTTAACCTTTTTATCCCTTTCCTTTCTTTTCTTTTTCTCCTTCTCTCTCTTATTCTTTCTTTATCTCTTTGCTCTCTTTTTTAATTTTCTTGTGAGAGAATTAACAATATTCTAGGAGGTTCTAGAAACATGAAATACTGAGTAGTGATGGGTTTCTCACTTCTCCTCAATCCGTTGCATGAAATAATAACTATGTGCCCTAATGCACACAAATAGCTAAGGAGAATCTGCCCCAACACCTGTAAAGGATAGGTGTCTGTTCATAGGCAAGTCGATTAAGTGGCATGATGCCTGCAAAGCAAAGTTAACTGAAGTTGTATGTTTCCCCCCCTTCCTTCTAAATAGAATAGCTCCACATCAGCAATATTATTTTGCCTTATTTGTTTTTCCCCAAAGTGCCAAATCCATTACTGGTCTGTGCAGGTGCCAAATATGCTGACAAACTGTTTCTGAATATCTTTTCAGTCCCCCTCCACCTTTCTATGCTGTAAATCTTTGTAATGAATACTCTACTAATGATATAGATGACTGAACTGTTGGTAACTATAGTGTAGTCTAGTGAAGATGAATTGTGTGAGTTGTATATTTTACTGCATTTTAGTTTTGAAAATGACTTCCCCACCACCTAGAAACAGCTGAAATTTGATATTCTTGGGAGAACACTAGCATTAATGCAAGTAAGGCTGATTTCCCCCTCCTCTAAGTCTTGTTATATTTGATAAGGAGCATTAATCCCCCTGGAAATAGATTAGTAGGATTTCTAATGTTGTGTAGCAAAACTATACCTTTTTTTTTTGTATTTTAAAATTAATGTGAAATATGCATCATACACAATATTCAATCTAGATTCCAGTCCATGGGGGGATTTTTTTCCTAATAGGAATTCAGGGTCTAAACGTGTGTATATTTTGGCTCTTCTGTAAATCTAATGTTGTGATTTTTACATTTGTTTCGTTTTGTCTGTGAACTGAATAATTTATACAAGTACACACTCCATTGAGAAACGTTTTGTTTTTTGCTCGTTTGTATCGTCTGTGTATAACAAGTAAAATAAACCTGGTAAAACACTAACTATGGTGTTTGAAAGCAGTTTACAGTTTGAAAATAATTTAATTATTATAGGTGATTACTTTTAAGGGTTAAGGGAAGACTGGCCCGTCTCCACTCCAATACGGGCAGTCTGTTTAATGGGAACAACCTCCCATTTCCCCCTTAAATTTGTTTTCTAGCACTACCAGGAATTACTTTTTCCTTCTTATTTACAGTTATTTAGTTCCCCAAAAGTCAAGTTTCACTTTTCTGCGCTCATTTTTTTTCCAGGAAAATATACGCACTTACCTCATCATATTTATCTGATTGTCTCTTAAGTTGGAAATAATGCGAACAGGAAAAGGAGGGTCTTTAAATAAGGAGTTAAGAATTTCCTAAAGAAAGGCGGGAGGCGTTGGGTGACAGTAGGGTGTGATTTAAATGTATGTCAAGATAGGCTGTTGACCGCAGATTTCTAAAATTATGGTCTTACAGACGAGGCCTTGGAGGTGAATGGCGAATCTGTAAACGCAAACACAGAACCGCCTACATTTCTTGAGTGGATGGTTTCAGAAGATTGGGAGGGGGTGTGATGAAAGGACCCATAGAAAAAATTTGTAGAGGGTTGTTTTAACCACTGAGCTTAAAACTTGCTTTTGGGAGGTATCTGGGGGCACCGCTTTATCCTTTCTATAATGGAATCTCTGTGCCGGTACCATCCAGGCCAGATCCCTATCCCCCGAGAACGAATGCAGAAATGCGGAATTCCGGACTGGGGGGTGCTGCGTCTTAGTTAAGGAGTCCGCTGAGATCTGCCTTCACCTCACGGAGAAGCGATTTTTGTACTTTTGTCTCCCAAGAGAGGTGATCCAGGAAAGAGGTGGAAAATGGTTCACCATTTTCAGTCTGGGCCAGAGTCAGGTTACGTGACTAACTTTACCACCACCTAGAGATTGTCCTGTGTCCCCTTTGCAGTTTGACAGATGTAAAGAGGCTTCAAATCTCCAATTAAAATGAAAATTCGAGGGAGGATAAAACTGACTTGCCTCCCCTGGACAATTCCGCCACTAGACGGCGTTCCGCGGAGTTTTGTCTGCTACATAGAAAAGCCATGACTGATTTTCCTTTGTGTTTCCTTTTCCCTCCCCATACCTAAGAACTAAACAAGAGGACGAAAAGTACAAAACACGGTGCATGTGTAGCGAGCGAAGTGGAGCGGTGCAGCCATGCAATCGCACATCTGACCCGGGCTGTGCTCCTCGGCCCCCGCCGCACATTCCCGCCGAGCGGGAGGCGCACGTGCGGCGGGAGGGCGCGGGCTGGAGTGAGGGGAGGCAGGGCCTGAGCGCGCCGGGCCGCGGGGGCCGCGCTCCCCGCTCTGGACGGAGGCCTGGGCCGGTCCGTCGCCCTCGGGGCAGAGTCATCGTGAGCAAAGGAGTCAGTGTCATGTGCGTAGACAAAGCTCTTAGAAGCCGAGGATAGATTTCACAGGAACGTGGTGCCTTGTACTGAAAGACGCGCTTTAGCTGGTATTAGGAAGTACTTAAAAAAATTGAGGAGGTCGTTTCCCTTGCAGCTCCGCCACCATCTGCTGTGTGGACTGAGTCAGCGTGAGGTAAATTTGCAGCTTCGCGCTCCTCTCGGAGGCAGTGTGCTTTCTTGTCCCTGTAAAACATGATCATTTCTCCTCGCTTCCAAGAAGTCTAGGGTGTCTAGTGAAGTGACGCTGTCAGTGTGTCTGAGAGGCTGCTGCTGTTCAAAGGAAATGAGAGTTTGGAGTTGGGAGGCCCTTTGGGAGTCAAAGTTCGCGTCCTGGGTTAGAACAGAGTTGCTTCTTTATCTCCGTGAGGGTAGAGGTCAGTGTATGGGCGGAGAGGAACAGCTAATTCTATCCGTACATTCAGATTTCCTCAGTTTTCAACAGTGTATTTTCAAAAAGAAAAGAAAAAGAAGGCAAGCGTGCGACTAGCACTTTATTCTGGCTCGTGCCTTCCCGCCTCTCGCAATCCGCGCCATCTTGACTCACTTTCAGTGTCACTCGGAGCCGAGCGCGGCAGCCGCAGGTGCTGCTCGGGCGGACAGATGCTGCTGCTTGGGTTCCTAACCTTCTAGTGGACACGGCGCGTCGGTGTAGACGGAGGCGGGAACAGAGGGCGCAGCTGTGGTCGAGGGCTTCGGCGGCAGGAGGCAGGTCGGTCCTGTCCCCAAGGCGAGGCCGCAGCTTGGCACCGGCGCACCAGCAGGGACGGGCGTCTGAGGAGCTCGCCCCAGAGCGGGGACGCTCCAGAGGCCTGGGCTGGCGCTCTCCCGCTTCGCCGTCGGGCGGCCGAGCGACTGCACCCAGGCTGTCCCAGCCCGGGCTCCAGGTCAGACGGCCAGGCTGAGAACCGGGCTGTGGGTCGAGACTGGGAGTACAGGCCCAGGTTCAGGCCTTGGGTCCTGGCCGGGTCCCGGCGGTTCTCTGAGTACCCCCCATCCCCGAACCCCCGCAGGTCGAGAAGGGCCCGCGGCCTTGACTCAGGCCTTGGGGCGCGGCCTCTCTGCCCAGGGCTCCTTCAGTGCACGCTGCTCCGTGAGAGCTAGGCCGGGCTGTGGATTAGGATTTAGGAGGTGAATGCCTTTTTAGGACTAGCAGAAATTTACTGAACAGTTTCTTTCAAAAATCAGGTTGTTTCTGTCTTTAGGACCGACTTACATTACCGGAGCTTTTTAAGATACAGTAATTTAGTGTCTGTACAGAACTTTCTGAGCCCCTCACCTCCTGCAGTTACATTTTCTTATGACTCCCACGGCTAAAACTCTTTGTGATCCACCATTTTTTGGAGATATTAAGTATTTATCTTTTTAGCACTGAAGATTTTTTTAAAGGATGTTATACTTTTCTGTGTAAGATGCAAGTTAGTCACAAAGCTTTGTTGAATAGAGGCCATTTATATTCCCAGAGAATTTAAAATGCTCCACATATATTTGGACAATGTATGTGTGTTCACAAGCGATTTTTTATAAAACGTTCAGCCTGTCCTCAGGAGCAGCACCTTTTTAGTGGTATATGAGTTACTTCGTCATGTAGGCATTTTGGCCACGAGATAGGAAAAAAAACAGAACCATTGATCCTGTATGAAAACAAATCTATGTAGATTCCCCTGAAAGAAATACCAACAATTGTTATTTTTAGACAAACTACTTATGAAGTAGTCAGTAACTTTGAAGCCTAGTGATTCATTTCAATTAGAAAAATATTTAATTTATTCTGGTATGTTGGCAATTGCTTGGCTAATTTTGATATTTGAAAGAGTAATATTTCAGCCTAATATTAGGGAAATCAGTTTTTTAAAAGGTAACTGAGAATTTTAAAGCAAGTTTAATCTATATGACTTATTGAAGTTACAATCTGAGTGCAAGATTTACTTTTGGACAGTCTGATTTTCTTTTGCTGGAACAAAATAAGAGTATCAGAGAAGACAGAGACAAACTATGCAAAATTTTAGGCGTTGCATTATACTTGATTTAATTCAGTTGCTTTGAGATTTGTGTGTCTTCCTGGTTCCCGTCTTCAGTTTGTATGTTAGCTTGCCACGCATATTAAAAAATATATTCATTTGAAAGAAAACCCCACTGCTTTCACAATAAAGTAAAGTTGACGGTGTACAAGTTCCTGGCCTCATCTGAACTGATTATATCCTCCTTGCGTGTATTTTACACCCACAGTATGGTTTGCAGCAGTGTTCAAGGCATGGCGTGAAAAATTTGATTTGAATAGTTCCATTAAAGCAAATGAAAAAAAAAACCCATGGCTTAATAGACCTTCTAGTGATAGCTCCCCCTCTTACTATGCTGACTCTGAAATAAATATGTAATCTAGTATTAGGAACATGGCATTTAGAAGACCCTTGCTGGTAATATTTAATTTAATAAACATACTAACTGTGACATTATTAATGCAGTGAAGCTTGTACCACAAGCTGATTCTTTCAGGTTGTTTGACCTATTACTTATCACTAGATTCCTTATAAACATACCCTGCAATTTCTAACTTGAATTGTATATTAACATTATTTTGAACTTCAACTCTTTAAAAATATCTACATGTCACGGCACTCATATACAAAGCATTTATACTTGGGTATCCTGGCACAGCTTTTATGAGGAGGAAGAGGAAGTTTAGGGGGGAGAACATCTCTAGTGATGTGCTTTTGGTTTTTTTAGCCAATATAGTTAT